GAGCTTGTTGTCCACCCAAATAATACCAAGTGCTCCATCTTTGACTGCTAACTCCCCTTCACAATTTTGGCTCTTCGTACGTGGTCTGCTCTCAGCCAAGTGAGGAGCATCTTGTGGAGAGGCAGATGAAACATCCCACCAAGGCCAAGCAGTACAGGTCAGCCGCTGACCATCAGTGGCGGTGGACGCTGTAGAGGAGCGAGGGCGATTGGAAAAATAGCTTATGGTGGAAGATCGGCCGAACTCCAGAACATACCTTCCCAAAACCCCAAGCCACCATTAGTGGCGGATATCAAAAAGCTCTCAACCGGCCAGTACCTGAAATCACGCCAGCCGAGTGGTGGGGGCTCCCATGATCTCGGACCAGGCGGAGGAGTGGCCAGTGGTTGGTCGCTGAGGACGAACATCGGTGTGGCGATTCAGACGGTGGTCGGTGGAACCTGATGCTAGCCATGAGCGACTATGTTGTAGGCGGTGCTCTACCAAAATTGGGACGAAGCGACCTAGAGCACTGCAGCGAGCTCCGCTTGGTGCAGGAAAGCCCACCGGAAACCCCACAGCGACAGGGACGATGACGGCAGCTCCGACGACCCAAACGGGATCTGAAAAAATTCTAGATTCGCCCCCCACATTTCGTAGCTTCTTTTGCTTCCTTCTTTTCTGGGGTGCCGCAACAAGCTTTATCCGGTGCACGCAACTCACCCAAGGTTCCATGACGGCGGGGACGGTGTCTGTGACACTTCAAAAATTTTAATAAAAATAAAAATAATTTTTAATCAGATAAAATATTACGAAAATAACATTTTAATTATTAAGTGAGTCAAACAAAATTTCAACAGTGTAACATTCTAACCGGATAAAATTTTCAAATTTACGACGTTTTAATCAGATAAAAATGATCCGATAATAAAAGTAACGTTTTCGTATAAAATTATTTTTTTATAAAACTATTTTAAGTTGTTTAATGTACAAAGTACAAATTGAATAATTAAAATACTCCTAATACGTATAATATATATACACTTACGTAATAATAATAAGAGTATAACCTACATACGTATACATAGTAATACAGCATAATTAAACTAAACTACCTACCTACTATACTTAATATAAACTTCAGCTCCAAACAAACTCTATGCAGACTACAATACTAATCAAAGTCTACATCCAAATCCTAAACTATCAAGAAGTCCTAAACACTCCCGGTATATTTTTTTTCTTGGCCGGCAAACCAACGCAACCAAAGTCGGGAGAAGCAGTTTTAATTCAACTCAAAATCTAACATCTCAGCCTAAAACCTTCGACCTACACCTATAAATAATAGGCCAGAACCTGCGTTTTCTTCATCCCAAAAACTAAGAAATATACATATATACGTATTTATATATATTTTTACGACCCAGCGTTTTAGCCAGAAACAAGCCTTGAAAATACTTCTCAAGTCTTCCCCTTCGTAATACGAATCCAACGGAAAAAGAATCGTCGAAAACGGTCGTGAAACGAGGGAGAAAAGCCTCGCCGGAGTTTCGCCGGGGAAAAACATTCCGACGGAAAATGGAGAAAAGGGAGGAGCCGCCGCCGCCGCCGGACCACCACTGACCTTCGCCGCCCTGCTACCACCATTTTCGGCCGTTCGCTCGTCCAAACGAAGTAAGTTCTCCCCCCCCCCCCCCCCCCCCCCCCCCCCTGTTTTTCCCGTTTTCCGGCGAAGCAGCGAGGAAGAAGAAGACCTGCTGTCTTGGGCCTGATTTGTTTGGGCCAGAATAATTTAATTTGGGCCAGTTCGGCCCAGTTGCAATAAAAATTAAAAATAAAATAGTAAATGAAATAAATAAAATCTGGAAAAATATAAATTAAATACCTAGTATAAATATACATATTCGGACCAAACAGAATTGGAAAATAATATTTTTAGCTATTTTTAATTGATTTAATGGTAATTGGGTCAATTTATACACTTTTAGTAAATAATTAACTAAATGACGAAACTAATTATGAAATAAATATTGGAGTAAACTAGGATAAATATATGACTAACTAGGACCTTATGGACCATTTATAATTAATAAATATTAAGGTTTAGTATATTTAATTATAATTAAACCGGTTAATAGATATATGAAATTAAAGGAATAATTATGGAAAATAATTATAAAATAGATATCTGGACAACCTAGGTCGAATATAGACCCAAAATATATTTATGGACGATTACTAATTTATAAAGTCGATTTTTAGTCTATTTATTTAAATTAGGCCATATAAAACTAGTTAAGTAATTAAATAAGGAAATATTAGTATTAATGGTGAAATAAATAAATCTCTGAGGTTGAAAAATAATATTCTGGACTAAAAATAATGTTTGAATAAAATAAGGAAAATAAATATATTCGGTTATGTAAATAAAGTAATTAAATGATAATTTATGAGTAGAGTAAATTAATAGTGATTATTGAATAAAAAATTAGAGGTTGTAGTTAATTATATTCGAATATTTTATTTAATATTAGAATTCAAATATTGTAATTAATGTCTGAATTAATAAGGTAATTTGATTAATAAAAAGTGATTAACCAAAGTTAATGCGAATAATAAAAAAAAAGGAGAAAATCGGGTAAAGTAATTATTAAAAATAGAATAAGTGGCTAATTATATCATCTTAATTAAAAAGGTGATTATTTAGAGACCGGAGTAGAGGAAGAGAATTAGGAGCATTGGATTTGAGGTAAGTTTCTCTGCCAATCCAAAATTGTTTCCTCGTATTATATGCTTATTATGCATTATGTGATTAAGTGTGAATTGTGAATTTTGTGTATGTGATTTTGAGGAGATATTATATATATGGTAGTTAAGAAGTATAAATCAAGTACTTTTGGGGTATTAAATATTTTTAAATACCTTTGAGACTTTTTAGAGAAATTAAGAAGTATTTTTTGAAGTATTGTTAAGCAAAGATAAAATTTACATTTTCATAAGAAAATAGCATCTCGGGAGTAATCCGAGGTGTCGGTTTTTCCACATCCGGATAAATGTGGAGGATGATTAGAGCAACTACTACTAAGAAGTACAGTTTGGATCTATGATCCCTTTTAAGTAAGATTTGGATCTATGATCCCTTTTAAGTGAGATTTGGATCTATGATCCCTTTTAAGAAGAAGTTATAGTAGTAGTCCCTAATCATTCAAGAATTTTAGAATTGGGGTGGTTGGGTTCCGACCACTCGGGATGACTTACTACTCGGAGGGCTTGGAATCCCTTTTAGGGGGTGTGCACACTTAAGGTAGTCGTTTCATTTCCACAGAGCAGTTGTGGTACCGGCACTTGTTCGGGGTGGCCGTCCGTAACCACGGTCCACCGGGCTCTACCGAAAGGTTGAGCACCGCCCTTCTAAATTACTAGGAAGTTAGAGAAGAAGTGATTTTTGAGGAAATCAAAGAGAAGAGTTATTATGAAGTTTTATAGAGAAGTTGAGGATTTTTTTTGTAAAGAAGTAGCCTTGAGAAAAATCAAAGTGAAAAGAATTTCGATGGTGTGAGTATTTTTATATATTACTATATAAAAATCTATTTTTGTCAAACATGATTATTTTACGGGGTTGGGTAGTACTTACTTAGCTCTAAAGCTAATTTTTGTTATTTTTCTTGTCTCTCTCTTCTCCCTTAAATTTTATCAGGTGATGAGTTGGATACCTATGTGGATTGACGGATTGCTCGAGTTTGAGTGCGAATTAGAAGATGCCTTAGTTAAATCTAGTCATAAAACAATCATTTACTTATTATTACATTAGTTTTTATTGTTTTACTTTGAGTTGCCTGTGCATTCGGTTAAGAGATGACCGAATGTGGCGGTAACACCCATTTCCCTATTTTAGACTTTCGCTGTACTCTTTAAATTTCATTATCAATAAATAAAAGTTTTATTTCAATTATATCAATGTTTTGAGCGGGAAATTTGGGGGTGTTACAGTGTCGGTGGCCTTGGTGGCTCTAGCGGCTCCGGTGGCTCCGGCGACTTCAATCCAGATCTGGTTGAGATCAGTCCACCTTCTATCATTTTTGTTGTTGTTATTCTTGACATTTGTAGATCTGTTTTGACTCATTTCTTGTATTTTGGATGAATTTTTTGGTTGTTTTTGGGAGGTTTTCTCACTTGATTGTGTTCAAACCTCTCAACGAGAGCACCATTTGATGGATAATCGATACCCATATTGTATAAACATGATAGATTGAACAAGAATGTAGTAGAGAAAGAGATACGTGTTTATTGTAAATGAATATTGGTTGTTGTTCAATAGCCTCCTATAAGGAGTATATATAGGGAAAATGCGGTTCTGGGCCTCTAATACGGGCCTGACAGACCCAGTTACATAAATGGACTAATAGTATAAAAAGATAATCTAGTACACCCGAATAATAATAATGTACAATAATATAAATGCTATCTACAAAGCGTATGTGGGCCGTTGTCCGGCCCAATAGTCGGCAGGTCGGGGGTCTGGGTCCATATACTCCATCATGAGTCTTGTCACTGGTTCCTTCATCTTCATCAACAATTAGAATTTCAAACCACAACGATGGATAACCTTCGATACTGCAACATACAACTGTTCGTGTGTAAATACATCACGGACTGTTGAACTCTCGTGTGCAACATACTAAACATAACACATCTATACTTAAGACGAATCTGTTGAATAGACGATGGTATATATCAGTTAACCAATATAATGGTTGCTTGTAAGCAATAAAATATAATATATGAATTGTCATAGTAAAACTAATTGCCCTAGAAATGCCAGTCAATCAGGGGTAACCAATGGTGTATTCTCGAATAACTTCAAATTCACTCTATTATTTCCACATTTTGAGATCCTAATAAAAATGTATCATATTCAATTTTAATCTACTCTAAAAGTTTTTTGCACCTTAGGGTTGCATTTATGAATATTCTAAGGCAGAACTATATGTTGAAATTTGCAGAAAGAACCATATATTTAACCCCAATATGTCCCTGCCTCTTCGTTAGTCGAGACATAATGATATGAATCTCACATATTAAAACAATTAAAAACGCCTCTACAACCAATTAAAAACCATATATGGTTATTCCAAAAAAAGCATATATGGACTTCCTTACTCAAATAGTCCATAATACTCTAAATCACATATGTCTCTGCCTCTTAGTTGTTCGGCAACTTGTATTTCTAGACATCAGACCCACTACAGACATTCATATGCCACACGTTTACAAATGTTAGCCACCCAACAGAGTCTGACTCTCGGGCATCTGAGATTCACCGGACGCCTTTCATGGCAAGAATTCGGTCTTCTTGCATCGCCGGTTTCACCTATATCCTCGATGCTTCAAATAGTCATCGGCTTCCACAAAGCGTCTCCAGCTAGCCAGACTATAATTTTGATTTTTGAGCGTCTTATTCGTGTGTATTTCAAAGGTAAGGAAAACATTTTCTACACAATACATGTTTAAATCAAAGTAGATTGTAGTGGAATTTAGGGAATATGATATTCACCCCTCAAAATCATCTATCCATAGTTGGTCTAGCAGATCTATATTTTCTACACAGCTGCATGTTTGAATGTGAAAATTGAACGAATGAAGAATGGGTTGATGCTATTCCGCCACAATTATGGTCCATTTATAGTTGTCATGCCCCGGACCTACCCGGACACGTCAACAACTCGCCGTACAGTACGAATAGTCAACCGTAGTCCGACTCATCCATACTATACAAGGCGTCTTGAATATCATTCACACATAGTACATCCATAAACAAACATAATGTAAAACATTTATTAAAGGCAACGGAAACAATTGATACAAGTGTTCAAGCCACACTTGGCATAATTAGGCATGCAAGCCCCCAAAGTAATTATTCAGAAAATATTATCCATGAGCATTATTCATATTGTTTTCAAAACAAGAACGGGAGAAGCACGAACCAAGTCTTCTCCTCAGAAACTTCCGAAGCAGCGGCTGGTAGTAGCAACCTTCAAGTTCTACCTGAAACTGTGAGGTGGCCTCCCCCGTGAAGGGGAGGTCAGTACTTGGAAGCATTTGACAAGTACAATGACAACTATACTAAGTATAATCGAAGTTTAAATCTCTAAGGCCCTCAATCTAGAGCATCATTACATTATAGTTAATCCGTTCATTTAGTATCAATTCATCATTATTTACTACGGTCTAGAGCCCAGCTCATAATCACCGTTATCTACTACGGTCTAGAGCCCCGCTCATAATCACCGTCATCTACTACGGTCTAGAGCCCAGCTCATAATCACCGTCATCTACTACGGTCTGGAGCCCAGCTCATAATCACCGTCATCTACTACGGTCTAGAGCCCAGCTCATAATCACCGTTATCTACATCGGTCTTGAGCCCGGCTCATAATCACCGATTCTTTATAATTCAAATTCTTAGGATCTAATTCATCCATTTCTCAACTAACATTTCCAACTAATATTTCAATGCTAGTTATTTATTTATTTCAATATAATTCTTTCTTCTTGCCCAATTGGCCTTAATATCAAGTATCACTTTCATACCCTCATAGCTTCTCCTCATGGCATCAAAGTATACTATCTCAAATGATATTCATGGTTGGTACAACCATCATACACACATATTCATAGCATCTAAACATACACAATTTATTCATAAATTTGTGTATCATGCATACTATACTTATAATCAATAGTAGTTTCATTTAGGCAATTTTTTAACCATTAAAAACTCATACACATCACATTTGTATTCACCTAGGAAATCCCATGAAATTAACCCAAAGATTATAAGTAACATAGTCGGTCATCCTCACCTTAATTAAGCTTAAGCGCGTTCTACGTTTCTCGATTGAACTTTGACCAACTCCGGTGAACTTTGACCAACTCCGGCGAACTTTGACCAACTCCGGCGAAACTCCGGCGAAGCTCAAAAATACTTTAAATCAAGTTCCTTAATTTTCACACTTTTTCCTAGCTTTTTCCTTCTTAAACTCTCTTCTTGGACTCCCTTGAGCTTGAGTTCGGATTTGGGGCTATGGAGATGAAGTTGTAGAGGTTCTTTCCTCCTTTCCCTTGTTGCTGGCCGAACTAGTGAGGAGGGGGATGGGTAGGAATGCCCCTTTGTCTCCTTTTGGGCAATGAGTGAAAGGGAGGAGGGCCACCATGATTTGTTTTGATGCCAAACATCTCAAATCAGCCCTCTCCCACCTCAACTCTCCTACCAGCCTGCTCAGGCCCTGAATAATGAGGCTAAAATCGTGGGTCCCATGTGGGAGGTCAACCCTTTTTGTCCAGAAGTGTACAATCAGTCCCGAAAGTTGTATTTTTCCGGACTGGTTTAAGTATATTTTATTTTATCGGGTCAAATAAAATATAACACTTGTTCCCAATTCTTAATGGATCTTAGAATCAATATGCATCCCTCAACTTTAATTTAGAAGTCTCCGAAATCCCTTTTTGGGCTGTTATCTGATTGATTGCCGATACTGATAATTTGGCCCCGTTTGACCAACCGGTCAACCCTATGCCATTGTCATGGCTCAACTAGGATATCCACCACCATATAGATATTATCTAGTCCAAGATCAATATAATATGTGGCCCCGATAATATCGGGCGGTCCCCACTCCCGATGTGGGCCCCACGTGCATTTTACTATTCACGCGAAAAAATTAACACAAATTCACAACTTTGTAAATTCACTAACAATTTCATAGGGTTCAATAAATTATTAGCTTAAAGATAAATACATTTGGGGACGGTGTTACAAGTTCACCCCCCCTTATTTGGGATTTCGTCCCCGAAATCCACGTGTCTAATCGAAAAGGAAAGGGTACTGCTCCCTCATTGAGACCTCAGTCTCCCAGGTTTCTTCTTCGACTCGATCACTCCTCCAAAGGACCTTTACCATAGGAATCTCCTTGTTCCTCAGTTTCTTTACCTGTTGACCCACAATCTTCACCGGTTCCACCGCATATTGTAGGTCTTCACGTATCTCTACCGGTGGTTTCTCAAGGATATGAGACGGATCTCGCACGTATTTCTTGAGAATCGATACATGGAACACGTCGTGTATCTTCTCAAGTTCTGGCGTCAATTTGATACGGTAAGCCACGGCCCCTATCCTTTCAAGGATTTCAAATGGGCCAATGTATCGGGGGTTAAGTTTTCCCCTCGATATAAATCTGATGATACCTTTCCAAGGAGAAATCCTTAGAAAGACCTTATCACCGACCTCAAACTCCAATGGCCTGCGTCGTTTGTCAGCATAACTCTTTTGCCGATCTTGGGCAGCCTTGAGTCTCTCCTGAATGACCTTCACCATAGCCTTGATGATTTCGACAAGTTCGATCCCCTCGAGCTTGGCTTCGCCAACCTCGTCCCAACACAACGGGGTTCTACATTTCCTCCCATACAATGCCTCGTATGGAGGCATGCCAATACTCGCCTGATAACTGTTGTTATAGGCGAACTCGACCAGAGCCAAATGCTTGTCCCAACTCCCTTGGAACTCCAGAGCACATGCCCTAAGCATATCTTCCAGAATCTGTATCACCCTCTCGGATTGCCCATCCGTCTGTGGGTGAAAGGTTGTGCTAAACTTTAGCTTCGTACCCAAAGATGCTTGAAATTTTGGCCAAAATCGGGATGTGAAACGTGGGTCTCTATCCGAGACAATGGATATCGGAACTCCATGCAGTCTCACAATCTCCTCCGTGTATAGCTTTGCCAATCTTTCAAGAGGATAAGAAATGTTGATAGGCAAAAAGTGTGCACTCTTGGTGAGCCTATCAACCACTACCCATACTGCATCATAGTTGTTCACTGTTCGTGGCAGCCCCACCACGAAGTCCATGGTCACGTGCTCCCACTTCCATTCTGGAATGGTAAGTGGTTGCAAAAGTCCCGCCGAGTGTTGATGCTCCGCCTTGACTTGTTGGCAAGTAAGGCACCGACTCACGTACTCTGCGATGTCCCTCTTCATACCCGACCACCAGTAACTTTCCTTCAAGTCTCGGTACATTTTAGTACCTCCTGGATGCATGGCATACGCCGAAGAATGAGCCTCCTCCAGTATAGACTTTTGGAGCTCCTCATTCCTTGGTATGCATACACGGCCTTTAAACAATAAAAGACCGTCATCACGTACCCGAAAGTTCTCAACAGGTCCCTCCAGGATTTGCTCACGGATCTTCTGACATTCTTCATCAGTGGCCTGACATCTACTGATCTCACTCAGCAATGTAGGCCTAACCTCGAATCTAGCAATGAGGACCCCACTCGTGGACACCTCCACTTGTGCCCTTAATGAGCGTAGACACGCGAGTAACGTCCCCGATGTACTCTTTATGCTCAGTGCATCGGCTACTACATTAGCCTTCCCGGGATGATAGTCGATGATCAAGTCATAGTCCTTGATCAACTCCATCCATCTCCTCTGTCTCATATTCAACTCTTTTTGAGTGAATACATACTTCAAGCCTTTATGATCGGTGAAAATGTGACACGTCTCCCCATAGAGATAATGCCGCCAAATCTTCAGTGCAAACACTACCGCTCCCAACTCTAGATCGTGGGTAGGGTAGTTTGCCTCGTGTTTCTTCAATTGCCTTGAAGCATAGGCAATCACCCGACCGTTTTGCATTAGAACACATCCAAGCCCTTGGATGCTAGCGTCACTGTATATGTCGTACCCTATCCCTTGTGTGGGTAGAGCGAGGACTGGTGCTTCTGTAAGCCGTCTCTTTAGTTCGAGAAACCCTTTCTCACAATTGTCGCCCCTTATGAACTTGGCCCCTTTCTTTGTGAGCTTTGTCAATGGAGACGCCAATACAGAAATTTTTTCAACAAACTTACGATAATATTCTGCTAAGTCGAGGAAACTACGTATTTCTTTCACGTTTTTGGGTCTCTCCCAATTCATAATGGCTTCTATCTTGGCTTTATCCACCGCAATGCCCGAACCTGACACGACATGCCCGAGGAACCCGATCTCTTTGAGCCAAAACTCGCATTTAGAGAATTTGGCAAAGAGTTGTTTTTCCCTTAGCCGTTCAAGTACAAGTCTCAAATGATCTTCATGCTCCCCCTCACTCTTGGAGTATATCAAAATATCGTCAATGAATACGATCACGAATTGATCTAAGTATTCACTGAACACACGGTTCATCATGTCCATGAATGCCGCCGGGGCGTTGGTTAGCCCGAACGACATGACTAGGAACTCGAAATGACCATACCTTGTGCGGAATGCACTCTTCGGTATGTCATCTTCCTTTATTTTCAGTTGGTGGTACCCCGACCTCAAGTCAATCTTCGAAAACACCGTCGCCCCTCGGAGCTGATCAAACAAGTCATCAATTCTAGGCAAGGGATACCTATTTTTGATTGTGACCTTGTTCAGTTGACGATAGTCAATGCACATACGAAGTGTTCCATCCTTCTTTTTCACGAAAAGGACCGGTGCTCCCCACGGAGAGTGACTCGGCCTTATGAAACCGTTATCCAATAGCTCTTGCAATTGGGTTTTCAACTCGTTAAGTTCAGCGGGTGCCATTCTGTATGGCGGTATAGATATTGGTTTGGTGCCGGGTTCGACCTCGATCACGAACTCAATCTCCCTATCGGGTGGAAGTCCCGGCAAGTCTTTTGGGAAGACATCCGGATACTTGCACACAACTCTCACATCATTGATGTCTATCTCTTCTTTGGTTTTGTCCACCACATACGCGAGGTATGCGTGGCACCCCTTTCTCATCATATTCCTTGCTCTCACGGCGGATATGATACAACAGTTTGATTTGCCTCTATCTCCCTCGAAGCGTAAGGTCAACCCTTCGCCGCCTTCGAGTTCAAGAACCTTCGTGTAGCAATCGACCCTAGCATGATGTTTCTCAAGCCAATCCATTCCTAGAATTGCATCGAACTCGATCATACTCAGTGGTACGAGGTCACACGTCAAGGTTTGGCCCTCCACTTCCACCTCACACGATGGATAGTGGCTATCTCTCTCGATATCATCCCCTAAAGGCGTGGACACCAATAGGGTTTGAGTCATCGGTACAAGTGGTCCGTTGAATCTGCTGGCGAACGCCTCACTCACAAATGATCGTTGCGCCCCG